CGACCAGTCAGTCATATATGTACATACATACCTACATACGTACTCTCTTATGTATGTAACGCCCCGGCGATTCGGGTCGTTCCTTAAGCCACAGGGACAGAATATTCGAACCACCCATAATGGTTGCCCTGGCTGCCCTGGAAGACAGGGAGGACATTGGGACGCATGGGAATATCCGGTAAGCAGACCTAGGTGTAGGGATGTACTCCGTACATCGGGTTCATACGAGTTCGTCGACCACATGCTTGCAACCTTATCCTACGTGTGTAGATATGTATAATACAATATGTGTCGTGGCAGTCGTATGCTACTATTTCTATGTAATAAAATCAACCTGCAGGATGCAAGGCACAGTATGTACATCGGCAGGTAACTAAGTACCGGTCACATCCAGATTCTTAACCAGGTACCTAGGTCTACATAACCTACCTACCTAATCCAATGCATACATGTAGTATTTGTTAATCGTATTCGCCTCCCACCTTCAGTTTACCCGCCGCGGTTATCACCGGGTACCTACTTGTTTCCACCAAGCCGAGCCCCTCCTTATCGCAATCCTTATCGCAGATCCGTCTTTGGGCCTCAAGTACGTACTTTTTTTCTTTTCGATAATGAAATAGACTTTACTAGCCAGGAACTCAGAATTCAATACTCCAAAAACATTTGCTCCACTCCTCCCACATGCCGATTCATGTCATCTTCAAGCCTAAGAAACCTTACATCTTGCTATTATATTAAGGTTAGCTTTAAGCAATGCGTGTCAAGCCAGGTCGTAGTAATCCTTTCTAATTTCCTATATACTTTTTTTCCTTCTTTCTCTCTAATCCTAATCCCCCCTCTTGACCGCCACTTAGGTAGATGACTCAAAGCAACCATCATCATTGTGCCTCGTTTCCCCCTATTTTTTTACTTTTCGCAGTTTGGCGATTGCAACATTGCAACCTCATCCTGCTCATCCCGACATCCGCACTACGCCCGACGTGTGCCTGACTCTGATGTTAGTAGTAGTAGTAAGTTCTGCGCGAACGTCCAAATCCGCTGGCTTCCCCCCTCGCCCAACTCTGTCGAGTCCAACATCAACTAGCCCCATCTGTCCCATCAACCACGGTCCGACATCTCCATCTTCGTACATCATGACGGTTCGCCCTACTTGCTCCCATTGCCCCATTTCCTACTTACTCATGGCTCACGCCAACAGCCCATGCGGAACCCCCGCGTGCACACAAAGCACCAGGAAAAGTCTTGGTATTGTATCACTGAGCCTATCGATCTCTCCTACACACCGAAAAAAAAAAGGCCTTACATAGGAAACGTTCGAGCTGGGGTTTTCCCCCTTTATCTAACGTAGATTACTGTTGTGCGATCTCGCCCATCGATTGGTATTATATTCGCCCGCCAATCACCCCATCCCCCTTGACGTACATAGGTTAAGTATGTGGGTAGCACGGTTATGTAGCGTGGTCGGCATGCAAGTGCTGGGTTCTGCATCCTGATCGGCGACCAATACGATCGATGCTACGTGCCCGATACCTATCAGCGTTCGTCTTAACCCATCTCTCACGTTTTTCTTTGCCTTTTTTATTTTTGTTTCATTTTTATGTATCTTATTTCCAGGTTTCCGTCCAAGCGATGGTCGGGTCGCTTCGGCCGAGTCCTCTCAGGTTGAGATGTGCCGCGAAGCAAACCCGGAACGGAGCGGTGCGGCGCGGGTTGGGGTTGGACATCCATACGACATACCTACATCACTTGTCTTACGTAGCATGTGATCGAAGACTGGATACCTAGATTGCCCAAAGTATAGTATAATAAATATGTGTTTAGGGTACCGATGCCCGGTCGGATGGGTTACCTCGTAATTAAAAATAGTCTCGCGGCCGGTTTTCAGATACGACACCTGTGGTTACGGCCGGCGCCTCTCCGGAGTTTTTTAGCCTCACGCCGGTGGGGGCCACCGGCGGAAGAGGTCGAGTTGGGCAGAAATTGAAGGTATCGCGTAGCTTTAGGTCCTTTATGCTCATTTCCTTCTTCCACAACTTGTGAAATCGCTATCTTGTAATACCTATAATACAATTCTCGAGCTTTCAGGGGGATTCTGTCTAGGTGCCAATCTAGGTGAGTATTAGATAAGGTATCTATGAAATCACAATACGTCGTAAAAAACCCATCTTGTTCAGCTGTCTTCTTCAGGACTTAGAGCATGGCATTCCGGGGGGGAGGGGTAAGATGATACGGTTAATAGAAGTAAGCATTCGATAAACGAAACGAATATCACATCCGGCTAGAATCAGTTTAAACGTTGTGAGATTGAACTGGTAAATAAGAATTAGAATAAAGGTCTGATGTTTAATTGTTGAAGCACTTAAAGCGGGTAAATTCGTTTTATATAAGTATTTGGGGACCAGGGGCAAATCGTTTGATGTCCATGAATACGTCGAGCTAGCTTACAAGGACCTCGGAAGAAACTTAACAGGATGAGACAAGTCCAGTTGAGTACCTACCTACCAAAAATGTATAGAACGCTCAGATTAGTTCACCCTGTTGTATCTGTTGAGCTGAATAGCTTCCGCCGCCTATTTGTTCTTTCAAACGTCTACGTTGCAAGCCGCAGTCCGTAGGAGGCTCCTTGATAGTCGGTCCCAGGACAGAGCACCTAGGCAAAGGACACCTCCTCTCAATATGGGCCTAGCATAATACTATGATGGTATCTGATGGGTGTTTAGGATTCTTCGTTCGGCGCTATTATTTCCTTATTTACTAAGTTTGTATTTTAATATGGACAAGTTATGCTCTATATTCTGGTCGCTTGGACCTAATAGTAAAATATTGTCACAAACTAGGTATCTTGGAAATGGCCTATACTATTGAAATTGTTCTACCGACTATAAAAGAGCCTGGCGATGAATCAGTGAGGCTGTCTGATCTTTTGAGGAGGGATAAAAGTCTTTCCTATTCGTGTGGAGATACTTGTATTACAAGCCGTGGATTCGTCTAATTGAAGATTCCATCGTCGCAAATCCAAGGGAAATCGATGAAATAGAATCATTTGCCCAGATAGTTACATGTAGCATATGCCAATGTGTTGTACGAAATCGGTTTTCTGGGTCTCTTGGGCAGCATTTTCATATAAATCCACGTTGATTATTGAATCCATTAGTTTAAAACGAAATTAGAGTGTAAAATGTGCCATAACTCCTGTTTCGTTGAATGTTGTGTATTACGACCAACCCCTTTTCGTCTTCCTTACTTGTGAATAGAAGGTTAGTTGTTAGCATTTTCTATCAAACATAAAGGGCGAAAATGAATTTCAAACATGGAGTACCTAGTTGACTCTATGGGAGTGTTTCTAAAGGAATAACGAGAACTACCTACCTATGAGGTGTAATGTACGCCAGTCTTGCAACGTCCTAGAACCAAGTTATATACCTATGAATCAGGCCCCGTCTCGCCACTCGAAGAGGAACTTCTCTGTCTAGTAGTTACCTAATGAAGCTATGATCAAGTTCTAACGGATATTTCTTTCTTCACTGTTTGGAAGGGAAGCACACATAAAAAGTTGATCAAACTTGATTAGCTAAGCTAGCTAGCTATTTACAACGTTCTCAATGCCCTAAAATCTCACAACGCTATGAAGCTGCCATGAAAATTTTTCCTTTATGGGTACACGTCAAATTGACAAGACCGATAATTTTATTCCAGATGTAGAAAACCGTATTGTGTAGGTACCTTAGTATGTTACGATCCAACCCAGGTCAACCCAAGGGAGCCCTCTAGGGCCAAACTACGTAGCCATTTAGTATAACAATGGGCGAGTCTTCTTTCCTTGGAACCTTAGGTAGTTCGACAGTAGTCAATTTAAGTCTATTGTCACTATTCTCTTGCTATATAGGACCAACTCCCCTACGAAATATTACTCATTCTCACCCTTTTGTTACCTGAAAATCAAACCCCTGAGCCCCTTGCTCGTTACAGTGTCTCTCTTCAATAGGTGTCTCCTACCAATATACCTGCCCAGATACCTGGTATGACGCATGCATAGCCCAATTTCCAGCCCTGTATCGCACAGACATAACAAGCTGCCTCTGTAAAAACAGAGCAGGAGTTGGTTACTTGTGCGATTAAGTAAGCAGTGTAATCATAGCCAAAGTCTATACCGTTTAGTCTCACTACGTTTAATGTCGGGAGTTAAAACTGGTCAGTTTCCACTCAAAAGATGTTTAAAAAGGGCAGCCGGATGTCTTTTGAATTGAATGTTCTGACAGTGTCCTGGCACCTTCTGAATTCTTCTTCCTCTGCAGAATTAAAACACGACACCCGCCACACTTTTCCTCTACTCCGAAATATAAATCAACCTTGACACACAATATTTTACATACTATTAGGATCAGACTCGGTATGTGTGCGTTCCGATGTTAGATCTATTATATCTGGTATCTAATCGTACTGACAATTCGTCGCAAAGCGAAACCGATTAATCATTAATCGGTGAAGTTGACGAGATTTGATTCACCGTGAAGGGACGGGGAAGTCGAGACCCAAAACAAAGAGAAGCAGGTGGAATCAATAAAATCTGACAGCTGCTTATCTTATTACTCATCTATAACTACTGGGGACGGTCACGAAACAAAGGCCTGTACGGCCGTCAACCTCCTTCGACCGGTTGCCTGGCAGTCGACGCATGGTTCACAATTTATTGCCAGGCGGTAAGCCTCAAAGTTTATACCCTCGTCCTCGTCCCCGTCCTTGGTCCTTTTTATTTTTTTGCATTACACAATTTCATTTCTGATTCTTGCCCACTTGTTTCGTCTGGAACGTACCAAACCGACAATTCAGTTTCTACTTCATCTTCGAGGCTGAACCTTAAACGCCGCCATCAAATTCATCGGAAACAGAATTCAACTTTGATATTTATTTTCGCCTATTCCTGGCATAATACTTTCTCATTACCTTCACTAACTTCTATTATTTCCCACTTTCAAGGGGAAATCCCCACATTTTCCGAGATGTCTTATCCAGGAGGGCCACCACAAGGGCCACCACGAGGGTTGAACCGGCAGGATACAGGAAAGCACGTCACGGACCAGATAACTCAGATGTTCCAGGGCATAACTGGAAGACCCTCTGAACCTGCCTCGCAGCCGCAGCCGCAGCCGCAGCCAGCGGACCAGCAGGTATTCCAACCGGTTCAGCAGGTACCACAACCAATCCAGTTGGTATCGCAACCGGTCCAGCAACCTGTCCAACTGCCGGCTCAACAGCTAGCAGTATCGCAACATCAGCAAGATCAGCAACTTCTACATCTCCAACAACGTCAGCAACATCTACAACGTCCGCAACATCCTTCACAAGTCCCTCAACAGAATGCTTTACCTCAAACACGTCATCCCCGCGCCCAGTCTATCCCACAGGGTCAACAACCACAAGGGATACAGCTTATTTCTCAGGATCAACAGCATCGTGCCGCAAAGCTTCGCGAAAATCATCAGAGGCACCAACGCAACAATCGTACCGCTCGAACTGTACAGGCAACCCCGCCTCTTGCTGGACCGCAGAATGTCCAACATCTTGCACAACCTTCCGCGTTCCAACATCTACAGCTCCCCTCTAACTTCGTGCCATCGACAATGGTGGCGGCAGTAATGCCGGTGATGCCAACGGACCAGCAGCAGGTGTCTCTGCCTCAGAACATGTCGCAAATACCCTTCGCGCACATGCACATGTCACCTCAGTTCTCGGGACCTTCGCCTCCTCAAGCAGGCGTTTCGCCAGTTGCCTACCAGCAAGCTGTCTCCGCCTCGCCGCCACACTTCCACTTTGAAAACCCGTTCTCACTTCCGAACTTTGGCGGTCCCGTCCTCTTCCCTACTGACATACCTGGTCAATTCTCCGAGCGTCCCCGAAAGCTTGGGCAGCATGATTCCGCAGTTCTTTTCCAAGCTAGGATTCGGGAATTATTGCAAAATCCATTCGAAATTAATCTGCCAGCTATTATTGCGATGGAATGGCGAACGGCCGTCGGAGACCCCCCTCAGAATAAGGCTGGTAAGTATCTCGTCAGATTTTGGAAGGAGGGAGATGAGAGAAACAAGGGAGCGCATAGAAGGAGCGCAATCCGAAAAGAACCGTTGTGCTAATACGTTATATTTCTTTTAGATCACACCAGACACATGAATTCCAAAAGATTTTACTTCGAAACGTTCATCCGCTACATCAGCGACCATGATTCCTTGACGGACTGGGACTACATGATCTTAGCAAGCCTACTGGTTGCGATACAAGCAGACAATACTTTCGACGCGGCCTTCGTACACGAAATGTTTCTTCGCGCATATGGTATGTTTTCTCTCGCACTCATTGAATCATCTAGAGGCTCTAGATGAAACCATTGCACTTCATCCTTACGATCTTTCGTTGCTGATATCTTTTTTCTTTTTGCCAGAATTCTTCCAGAGAGAGATTCCGGGAGGAAAAGAAGCCAGCCGAATATATTCGTTCATGATGAAGCTTCACGACAAACAATTCATAAACACTCCTATGTTGTATCAGTTTAACTCGGGGGTAATGCCACCGCTCATGCTGCAACCCATTGCGCAACCTATTCCTCAGCCTATGGCCCCAGCCACCCCGCAACCCGTCATGCAACCTATGCCTCGGCCTGGGCCACCTCCCCCAATGCTCCAGTTGATGCCTCAACCTATGCCACTACCCATGTCGCAACCTATGCAACAACTTACGCCGCAACTTACGCCGCAACCTATGCCACGAATCACGCCGCAGCCCACGACGAAAGCTCCGCCTCGGCCTAAGCCTAAGCCAAAGCCTCGGCCTAAGCCCCGTCCTATCCCGGATCCCATGCCGGATCCCGTCCCGCAACCTGCCCCGCCACCTGCTCTGCAGTCCGTACCGCAGTCCGCCCCACGCTCTGTACCGCAGCCAGTCCCGCAGTCAGTTCCACAGTCCGCCCCAGAGTCCGTCTCGCAACCCGCTGCGCAATCCACCCCACAGGTCGTTCCGCAGGTCGTTCCACAGGTTGTTCCGCAGGTCGTTCCGCAGGTCGTTCCGCAGGTCGTTCCTCAGGCCGGTCCTCAGGCCGTCCCGCAGCCTGCCACGCAACCCGCTGCAGAACCGGCGCAACCGGCGAAGGACCATCTCGACCCGCCCTCGACCGGCCTCGACTTTGGGTACGACTGGAACCTCTTCGCGGACCTACCCGAGAGCATGGAGTGGTACGACGACGCGTTCGATAAAACCGATTTCGGTGATCTCGGTATTTAAATGGTAAAACGAAAGGCATCAGAGCCCTAAGATCGGCTCTTCGGCGGATGTGAGCAGTAACGGCATAAGGCATAAGGCATACACTTTTTTCCCTCCCACCTCTCTGGTTTCATCCTTTTTTTCTACGGTTTAGGGTGGTCGGATCTATGGTTACGCGGTTGACACATGGGTTTGGTACTTTAATACCCGATGGCTTGGTGTCTTTTCCTTTTCTTCTTTCTTTTTTCCTTTTTTTCTTTTTTTTTCTTTTTTCGTTCCTCTTTTTTCCGTTTGGCTGGTTTACTTGGCTTCTACGTATGGGGGTTGGGGATTGGGGATTGGGAATTTGGGTTTGCACACATACGACGTTTGGGACTTACCTTACGCCAGATGAGGTGACAAGCCGCAAAAGTGCGGGGCTTATACATAGGAAGGGGCTGCATTGGATCGGGACGCTGGGTGACTAGCGACCTTTTCCCTTTCTCCCTTTGCTAGGCCTCGTTTTTGGACGCAAGATGCTGATTTATGCGATGGTTCAGATGCGGACAGGCAACGGCGATAGGATAAAAACCTAGGGTAACCTTTTAGGTTAGGTGGCCCACGGAGTGGACGTCCATCAGATGATGATGAACTCTCCATAGTTAATTCCTGTTCCGCGAAACGTATGAGCTTTTTGTGATCCGTGATAATGAGTTCGACGGCCCGTCCCGGTGAGCAACGAGCAAATGGGGTTTTATTATTTGGGTTAGTTATGGTCCGGTGTATCGTACTAGGTGCTACGAAGAACACGCTTAGATTTGATTGGTTGAAACTGCCGTCGACCTTCCGTACAAGGCAAGTACTAGATCTCAAACATGCTCCTATTGGCCAGTCTTGAGTACCCAGATCCATGTTCAAGGTCTCCGATACTTCGGGAGATAACGCATTGTCCTGCTACACAAAGAAAATGTGTTTGAAACACTAAAGTAAGAATAGAACACATTTGGGATGAATAGGAGGATTGAATACACGACACCTACTCGTAGTCGCACTAATTCAAATAGTACGAGTGGAAGATTTAGTAAGACTGAGATGTATAGCACGGTCCATTGGTGGTAAGGCTTGGGTTGCTGGCTCATGCTCAATTGAGACCTCGAGTCTGAAGTTGTCGTTTGTATGGACGACGAGAGGAATTGAGAGTTGCGCCTCGGTCGAGAAATAGCGACAATCATTAATCGGGATGACCTGACGGTATCTGCATGTGACAAGACTTCACCGATTCATACAGTTGGAAATACGAATATATTAATAGTATGTAACCCTACTTCTTTTCTATGAAAAAGGGCTGGAAGCTCTCTTTCAAGATCTGAGGTTTCCTCTCCGCCAGATCCATGATCATCTGGCCGAAAAGTCCATTTGCCCAAGTGAACCTAGGTATGGAGTTAGCCCAGCATAGCGAGATGCCGCCGATCCAAGATTTCCACTCACCATTGCCGAGTCCAATTGCTCGTGTCGAATGTATCGACGCTCTCATGAATGAGTCCATATCCATCGGTACTGCGCAACACCTCAGTGATCGCCGTTATGATTTCCGAGTCGTTGTCCGAGGTCATTGCTCGCACTAGATAGTTAAAAGTTAGAGAAAATAGGGGCAATTCAAGGTTGAGGCATAATTGAAAGAATCTGCAGCCGGACCAAATTTGTAGATAAACCAGTGGGGTAAATAGGAGGAAAAGGGGCACAGGGATCACATACTAATAGCCGCCATAGGCCATGCTGCACCTGGTCGTATGTGCGGCGAGCCGACGGCGTTGAGATAGGGGCCAACGCACCACCACGGGTTGCTTCTGCTTAGGACAAAAGCACGCGTGTTCTGGTAAACGGTGTCATTCTTATCCAAGTACCCCAGGAATGGCGCCGAAAGGAGGGACGGGATATTCGCATCGTCCATCAAGTTTTGACCGCCGAACCCATCAACCTCATACGCAAATATCTTCTGACCGTTTGGCGCACTCACAATGCCCCATTGATTGATGGCTTCCCTGATTTCGGTGGCCATGTCTTTCATCTCCCGCGCGAGACCTTTAGGAGCGTTTGGGAGCCGTTCCATGATTTGCGACGTCGACTCGAGATATCTAGAGAGCATCATGTTTGCCGGAATGTTGAAGTCGAACATGGCAGAGTCGTCACTTGGGCGGAAAGGGGACCGCACCAGGCCCGTGTCGTTCACAGGGGCTCCCATTCCGTTGTTGCCCAATGTACCCGAAGCAGACATAGTTAAGGATTGGAAAGAGTATGCTGGCGGGATCCATTTGCCGTCTGGACCATACGTAGGCTTTCGCACAGCCTCTGACGCAGCAAGAATAGACTGCACTGCCGATATCCATTGGAACTTCCCAAAGAAGTCCAAGTCCCCCGTTGCATTATAGTAATCATGCGAGAGTTGCAAGAAGCCCCCAAAGTCGTCGAGCTCGAAGTTGCAAGTAAAGACTATGCTTCTGTCGTATGGTGGCGTAACAGAGTACGTGGCGGTATTCGGCTCAGTGGTTATGTTCGCCTCGGGCGGCGGTTGAAAGGCGTTACAATAAGGCGATATAATCAAATATCGTGCCTGCATATTGATGACCCCACGGAATAGCGAGGCGATGTCGCTTGTCGCACTCTTCAACACCGATTTATATGGCGCTATCTGGTTCGCCGAGTCACGAATCCACATGGCATCGATGTCGCCAGTAATCACAAAAGCCAACTCTTCCTCCGAGTTGTTGGCTGCGAACCCCCGCCATTTTATTGCCGTATCGAGTGTATTCGGATAAGTGTTCTCGAAAAGACGAAACAAGTCTTCATCGTATATCGCTTCTTTCGTTTGACTAATGGCGTCTTCGATTAGGGTTGAGTTGAAGGTTCGACATTCTGGAGCAGGTCGCTGGTAGGCGAGCTTGTAAGCACCGAGCGAGAGAGGTGGGTTTCGCGACAGGGAGTAACTCGAATATTTGGGACAGCTAGCGAGTACACTCCCGGTTACCAAGGACGCCGACAATATCACATCGCTCGACCGCATAGCTTATTGCGCAATTGTCCTTTCGTATGGTGGTGAGGAAAGGGGAATTGATGCCATAGGGATCGATTGAAAAGTTGAGGTGTCATCAGGAATTAAACGAGGGAATCGTGTCTTGATTGATCGTGCCTGGATTGACGATGGACGAGCCAAGAGTCTTGGCTTGGTTCTTCTGGAGCTGTACCCCGGCATTCGTATCCAAGTCTAGATTCAACCTCCATTCCCCATGATGCTGCGCTTTGAATGGTCCGCCAATCCCTTGCTTCTATAAAAAGCAATTGGACTCCCTTTGTAGGCTAAATTGATATGGGCAATCTGATGAATCTGAACAATTCTAGTGTTCAATTCACTCCAGGATTGGTTCTGTAAGAGTGGATTGTGCGATGCTTATGTCAATCCAACCGAGACATTCCCTGGAGAATGAAACTGCATAACTCGGAATTATGAACATGGATGAGCTGAACTAAGCAGAATAGACTGTTGCCGTGTCACCTGGCGCTCAGCTGGCTTATGTAAATATTGAACCGAAAATGGAAAATAATCTACGTACCCGCTAGTGCTTCTCGGCATTTCGGGATGACGTCGCTTACCGTTATCGCTCCACTCACCGCACCGTTTTCTGTTATCGGGGAGCGATTAAGTGGAGATGGCCTGCTGATTGAGCGACTTTTGGGAAAACTTCTATTGCAATGTGATCCGAAGCTCCGGATTCAGTCAACCGTGCAACTCCACCTCCGCAACCTCGCGATTTTTAACTCTTCCCTTTCCTTTTCCTCCTTCCCTCCGTTCGCCGCGCGTCTAGTCATCTAGCAATGGTTCCAATATCTTAACCTCGTCACGACTGTATATCGAATATCTCGTTTCGTCGTGCCTAGAGAACAATATAGAAGACGACCCCGCGCGCGGGCTATCCGACGAAGCCATGACTCTCATCGATTTACGCGATATTTTGAGCTTCCCGCAAGGCGACAACTCAACCGACACCGTAATCAGTGGTATACATTTCAACTTGACGACGCTCGATTTCTGGAACTATACATATTATCCTACGAATAGTACGCTATCCAATGGATCGTGGTGTTTCCTCGTTGATTCGCCTTATACTCCGGTCGGACTCTTACCCAATGGCACCTTTCTTAATAGTACTTGGTGTTATCTAGCAACGCAGCCTATTGGGAATCGAGCGCGTGCCGGAATTGGGTTTGCGGCGGCCTTTGCTCTATGTCTAATATTCGTATTCGTAAATCTGAAGAAACATGGAGAACTACATCTTCCGGCGGAAAAGAGATTCTATCCGATTGGAAGGAGATGGCAATGGTACTGGTCAATCTTCGTCTGCACCACCGCTCTTGTCGGCCTTTTCACCGGCATTGACGTCGATCGATATCGTGTCGTCGAGCTTCCTCTCGTCCTGAATGTCTTCTTCTGGTTCCTCATGCAAATGGGTGTTATGGCGGTTGTTTGGGAGGGAGTGCGACATTGGGGTAGTTGGATGGAACGCCAATACATCGACCCCAACCCTTTTGTCCTCCAGCAGAATGATAAGAGAGGGATGTTCGAATTCTGGCTGCCGTTGTGGTTCTATCTCTGGTTATGGCTGGTAAGTCAATGTTAAAACACGTATTCTAGACAAGGAAAGCCTTGTACTAATAGTTGCCGTGATGTAGAACTTCTTTTTGGTTATCCCAAGAAACTGGGGTAAGATTGAGCTTCAGCGCTCTGCTGAACAGGCGGTAGAGAATGCGATACCAGCTGCTACGGATGGACGTTTCAAAGCGGCAACGTTCTGCCTCTTCGTTTGTTGGTTCACGATTATGGTGTCTCTCTGGCATTCTATTCGACACTACGAACCTCGTAATCGTGGATTCTTTAACCGTATCATCGGATTTTTGGGATATATGCCATTCCGATTTACTTTAATGGTTCCACTTTCGTTGGCCGTTGTGGCATACCAGGGTCTGTGCGCCTGGGAATTCTACTTGTCGCCTCTGAAAGTCGGAACTAATCTTCTTGCGATGTACCTTGGAGGATACGCGCCGACCCTCCTGATCATCATTATTCAGGTTATCGCCGGGTTTATGCGCCCGAATGAGGATCGTGAGCTTTCGCGCCAGCGACGAGAACGAGGACAGGCTATTGACCAGGAACTCGGCTTTGTTCGCAAGCCCGCTTGGTGGCGCCGTGTTAATGGCGAGGTACCAACAGAAAGCATGCGTGATCGCATCATGCGGAACGTACGAGAAGTCGGAGGCGGACGACCAACTGCAAGACAGGTCGAAATCCTCGCAGAGCGGAGGGCCGCGGAAGCTGAAGCTGAAGCAGAATCGAACCCCACTCGCACGAACGCGATAGAGATGAACGAAATGCGGCGCACAAATAGCATCCACAGTAGCATCCGTGGGGTAGCTGCTCCGCCACCGTATACACCTTATGGGGGCAAATCGGACACGCGAAGGTCCGAGCGTACGATGCAGATGGCGGCTGGCCTCCTATTCCCAGGCGCAAATCCTGAAGTTTCTGCCGGTAGGGGCAGAGGCACGGAAGTATCTAATGAGCAAACTCGGCGCCCAGGCACGAGCGAGAGAAGCTCGAGCACTAATAGTGGCCAATCCACGAACGTGCCTCCGCAACAAATCAAGAGTATGTTAGATGTATAAGTGTCCGGGTAACACGAGACCATTGAGGGTCATGTTGGATCATATGACACATGTGGTACGATTGGTCGGATTTTTATTGAAGGTTTTCATGATGACTGAACGCGGCGTGGGGAATTGGAAACCTGATGTTAACGTTCATTAAGCGACTGGTTTGGGCCATGGGTTAAGCTTCGCCTGGAAAGCTCAAAACGGAAATGTTTGGATCATATACGGCATGCTTCATCATTCAACTTATTAAATAAGTACTATGCTTCAGCGTCAAGATATTACATAGAATGCAGTGCTCTTAATGAATAATAGCTTATTAAAAAGTGGGTGGGCTTTATTGATCGCGATACTTGCTCTACTAAGTTGGCTTTACCTGTGTGGAATCGCCAGCCAATTCGATGAATAATGACAAACTCTGACAGACTTCGCGACGATTTATTGGCACAGCAATGTCTAATCTTACTTAGGACTTCCCCCATTTATGGGTCTTTATCTCAACTAATCGCTACAGGAGTGTTGAGAAATACTCTTTAAAATCTTGGTTACCCGGAGCTGCTCCAGGAAAAAGACGACGGTATCGCAGGCCTAAAAGGGGACCCCAAATGTGCGGCTCGATAGCCAAGAATATTTCCGCTAGGTACTACTTAGCGAGTATCGCTAGCTCCTCGCCGAATCGAATCCCTCATGTTCCTTTCATGTAACAACCGCAGGACAATCTCGATATCTCCTCTTGTCGCGAAGACTCAACCTATCAGTATATTTCAACAAATTAAAATGTCAATAAATGCGGAACACATCACATACATAACCTTACGTGCGTGAAGTGGGTTGAAGGGCAAGTTAAGCAAAGGCTTATGCGCTTCTAAAATACTAGTTAAAATACTAGTCGACGGCATGCGGCCCCGGCAATATGTGGGGGAGCACAACATCGGGCTGAAAAGGTGGACGGGTGGGACGGATGGGATGATATACGTCTTATAGTGGATAGCCGAAGACGCAACACTGCGGCGCTGTTAGGACTCTTCATGCTTCTTACAGCTCCCCCGCCACCAATCATCACCAATCAAGACACTGATCCACGTTACTTTCCAAAATCCTTCAACCAATCTTTAACCCATGTAACCCTCGAAAACCCCCCAATGGCAAGGGCGGCGTTTTCACTTCCACGGTCCCCATGCAGCGAAAACGTATGGCGCTATCGTGGAAGGTCGTAGTGAGAAAGGAGCCGGGCCGAAATAGCCATGCTCTTCTCTCTGTTCGTATATCCGCACCGTAGCCTTCTTCAGCACGCACGAGGCTCAGCGGATAGATACCTAGATGTCTAGAAGCGATGTTTACGTCGCGTCGCATCTAACCTTGAAGCCTTACTTTCAGGTCTACGTTCGCTTAAAGACCCTGAAGCAGGTGGACTTACGGGCGAACCAACCCGTGCTGAGACAAATGTTGACGAACACCGAGTATTATTGATTCCATGCCCTGGAGAGGAGCTTGGAGCTTCCTCTCACAACGGCTGACCTGCAGCAAACCCGAGCAGGGATAGCGCAGTTCTAATGACTGCGACAGCACCCTCAGCCACCGAATCTTGGACGTTACCTTAACCTGCTTGCTGACATCCGATCGCCTTCTCGAATTATTCCTCAAATCATTAGCTTTGTCTTACCCCAAACACCAAAATTTCCATCATCGTTCATGCTGTGACCGTCGCATTTTCGCTAGTCGTCGTCGCTTTGAGGTAGACTTCGACTTCGATTCCAGCAATGATGGATATCGCAGGCAAGTCAAAGGAATCTATCGAGCTGCGCGTCGCATCTCAGAACAATGGCGACACCCTCCTCTCCTTCTCCGATTTCTCCGGTGGTAACTACCACTCGTCCCGCGACGATACCACCTTGAGGCGGCTCGGGAAGCGCCCGCTTCTCAATCGTAGCTTCGGTTTCATGTCGAGTTTGGGACTATCCTGCACCGTCTTACTATCCTGGGAAGGCATTCTAGTGACATCCGTGCCTACGTTTCTTAACAACGGCCCCGGAGGCGTGATATGGGCTTTCCTCATCGGCTGGGTCGGCGTCACCTCAGTTTACGCAACGGTAGCCGAGCTGGCTTCGATAGCTCCGACTGCCGGTGGACAATGTAAGGCTTCCTAACAGCTTTCTCACTTTTCACGCAGGACTTCATCTACTATAGAAAATGGAATATACGCTAAACGATGCACTGACTTACAGATCACTGGGTCGCCATGATGGCGCCGGACTCATGCGCCAATTTTCTATCTTACTTGACAGCTTGGCTTACGACGCTGGCATGGCAGGTCATAGCCATCACCACTAGCTACTCCGTCGCGACCATCATCCAGGGCATCATCGTCCTAGCGCGACCGACCTACGTCGCCATAGCATGGCACACGGTGCTGATCATGTGGGCCGCGGCAGTATTCTCAGTCTTAGTCAACTCGACGACGGGGCGCGCGCTAGCCAAGTTCGAAGGCGCCGTGCTCATCCTGCACCTGGCGGGCTTCTTCGGCGTGCTGGTCCCGCTGGTCTACTTCGCGCCGCACAACACTCCCGCGGAGGTGTTCACGACGTTCAGCAACAACGGCGGATGGCCGACACAAGGGGTCGCCTTCCTCGTCGGCGTGCCGACCGTCGCGAGCACGCTTACCGGCGCCGACTGCGCCGTGCACATGTCCGAGGAGGTGCGCCAGGCCAACGTCGTCGTGCCACGCGCCCTCATCTACACCATCTTCATCAACGGCGCGCTCGGCTTCGCCATGGTCATCGCCCTGCTGTTCTGTATTAGCGATGTGCCCGCTGCTGTGGCTGCTGCTGATACTATGTTCTACCCCTTCCTGCAGATCTTCGAGTCCGCTGTTAAGTCGACGACGGGTGCTTGTATCATGGCCGGCGTCGTGCTGGTCCTCGCCGTCGCGAGCTCTATTAGTACCTACGCGTCTGCGTCGCGCATGATGTGGTCGTTCGCGCGGGATAAGGGGTTGCCTTTCGATAGCTATTTGGTCAAGGTACGCGGTAATGCCAGCGGCAGCTAGCTATCCCCTTCCCCCCGCCCTCGTTTAGCTCACCCGTTTTTACTAACCTGTTTTACTACTAGCTCAACAAAAACTCGCTTCCCGTCTACGCTATCATCTGCACTATGGCCATCACGGTCCTAATTTCACTTATCGTGCTCGGCTCCTCCGTCGTCCTGTCCGCCCTGCTATCCCTCCTGCTCGCCGCCATATACTCCTCGTACCTCCTAGCGTGCGGCCTGCTTCTCTGGCGCCGGTGCACGGGCGCTTTCCAGCCCTACGTCGCGGGCGCCGACGAGGATCCCAGAAACGCGGACCAGCTGTTCTGGGGCCCCTGGAAGCTACCGGAGCCTTTCGGCACTATCAACAACGCTTTTGCGTGCGTGTATACCTTGTTCTTGCTGTTCTGGTCCTTCTGGCCCCAGTCCAATAACCCCGACCCCGAGGAGCTGAATTGGAGCGTGGTGGTGTATGGGGCTGTGCTCGTGTTCAGCGTTGTTTGGTACGTTGTGAGGGCGAGACATCATTTCAAAGGCCCTATTAGGGAGGTTTAGCTTGGCGAGCGCCAATGTATTTATTGGATATCTGCACATATAATGAAATAATTTGATCTCAATTCGTTCGGCTATTGCTTAGGACTTGTTCTAGCCATGTCTCAGGTTACAGAAGCCATTAACGATGCTCTAGATTCATTGGACAGCACTTTAGATGCCCGGTAATCGGCATCCTACTTTGGAGCTTTTCGTCAGCTAGGCAATTTCTGAACATAAGTAGGCTAGGTAAGTACCTGCGCCTTTTTATGTCTGAGCTACAGAAGCCAATCAGCTGGTAGAATTCATCCAAGAAGAAACTTACGTGAGCTTGTACGAGAGGTCTTGCTCCGAAACGTAAGCTGACCTCGTTAGACAAAGTGCTTAGGTGGCTTGCGTTGATCGCGGGGTTGAATCTTGCCGCCGTAATGAGACATGTCGATGCCAAGCAGCCATTGGTTAGCAGCTCGCCGCCTATATTGTCTGTAACAACAAAACTTCCAGGGCTTTCGTTGCCCTGTTGCTGCATAACGGGTCAGCATGCATAGCCGATGTAACGCTAGCTGGTAAGCGTCACCTCGCCAATATTACGACGCCGGCGATGTCCAGGAGTCCTTTGAAGAGAATCTTACAAGATCCACAGTATCCCCGATCTACGTCACATGGGCACTTAATCATCACTTCTTCTCTCGTTTACTCAATAATCACACCTTCAGATCGACATCGTCGTCGGCGACGTTGAGGGCCTATGGGCTACAGACACGGCAGCAGGTGTCGTCGTATGGTCATCTCGTCAACCCCGCCACTTTCTACTTTATCGTCAACATTTTCTTGGCCCACCGTGCCGACGTGCATTAGAGGCCGACAGGATCCATTTTCAGGGTTCGTAGCTTAATCACGGTACGTTACTTGATATAGAGACTTTTCATACTCCTCAGTAGATAGTGTATGTACTATGGAGGTGGTCTTCGCAAGGGATCCGAATGCGTTTCCACCGGGTACCTTGAACCAGCATCTCCCAATCGGTCCATGGGTGATTCCAAAACAGCACATTGGCAGCTCTTCTAGGCTAGACTCCATATAATTCGCGACCCCTTTCTTATGTAACCCCGCCCCTAGTCTTATATCAGATAGATCTTCCCAACTCCCCTGGTTATTCCCATTCGCGGTAAATGTACCATCTAATCTTCAACGGAGATATGCGTTTCGGCATAAATGCGTTTCTCGACCATTCAGATCTCAAATTCACATTGCAAGGAGTCACTTCATTTTCCCCTGCCCCTGTTCATGGTTAGTCGTCGGCTAGCAACCAACTGCCGTGATAAATCAAGCTAAGCTTTCTGCTCGAAGATCTCCTTTCCCGATGCATACATCCCCGGTATTTAAAGCCAAATCACGTCAAGATATACGTATAGATATTCGGGGTATTCATATATCCATTTTATCATATCTCAATATGATCCGACAACGCAGCTATGTCTCAACAGAAAGATAGTCCTTCAGTACCCACACGGTCCTATCCACAATCATGACTCTCGTGGCTAGCGTCATGCCTCGCGGTGTGATATCGTATATACAGCTAGCTCGCCAAGTTTACTCGTCATCCTCATCCACAACGTCCGTAATGGCAATGATAGACGGTGGGGTCCTGGCTTCGACAGGATTGCTGAGGCCAGACTCTCGGTTTCCTAGACCTGTTGTTAGTAACTCCCATGACAACGAGATCAGGTTGGATCATGGAAGGAGTAAGTACCTAGAACCATGGAGGAGGCAATGCCGGTAAAGCCTAGGAAGGCAAAGAGAACTGTCTTGTAGAGCATTTTCGTGTTTCTATGCTGACGATGGTTGCTAGTAGGGCTGAAGTTCCACTGAGATCTAAGTATAGTGAAGGACGCTGAAGAATATTGCTACGCCGTTTCACTCCGTGGGAACTACGTGCTCTTATGTTCATGGCAGTGCTAGGAAAGCAAGTCCTATCCAGGTACCTAGTCCTACTAGTCCTGACTAGTGTAAGCAGCGATGATGTATTTCGATATACATATCACAACTAGCGGATTCGTGCATATCGAGGTGTGATCGGACCCACTGACGGAAAAAAGGGGGGTTGTTAGCTTCACCGTAAGATAGGTTCGTAGGTTTCAGGTCCGCATATCAAAATCCTGTTACCCTACGTCGTGGGTAGTATCCAAAGGCTCGGCACTTGGTAACAGGCTAAGGTTAAAGTAGTTGCAGAGCAAAGATGCTCCATTCCACGCCACATGCATGCAGGTCTATCGAGGTCCAGATACTACACTTCCATTCGCGTCATACCACCGGCATCAACCTGTGGTCAGCCGATCTCCTCCCTTTGCTCCCCTACCTAGGTCATTACGACCCCAAGTATCGATTTTCTCGACGATAACACCTTGGTTCATTAGAGTTCCGTGTCGACTCACGATTTGACGCTATGGAGAAACATTCACAGGAATCTCGAGATCCTCTTCTTCGTCACTCTATCGAAGAGAACGTCATTAATTCAAGTGATGTCTCGGGCGACCAAAAAGATGGTTGGTTGCCAATACGGTCGTGGCTGCGGGGCCACGCTCTTTCCTTGGCGATATTAGTCTTGCTACTGTATATTGCCGTCGCATTAACAGTCGATATCGCGCTGAGGTTTTCCATACAACCGTCGAATGGGATGTCGGACTATGTTTTACGTACGAAACCCCTCTTGCTACTGCTGAAAATTCACTGACACGGTGGAAAGCTTTAATGGGAGATATCCTACGATATGAGGACAGACCTGAATGGTTTCCTCCGGGATCTCCCTGGGACCAAGATCCCTCCGATGAATTGGACGATGCATGGGACGACTTACTGCATGGTGAGTATCATAACACAACAACCATCGGCGTTTTCTACTAAGTCTCTCAAGCTATCAATATCAGAGTCACAGGCGATGAACTAGATATCCTCGGCATCAATAAGACGAACATGGTCCAGGTGAACGGCGGTGATTATATCGGGTCAATGGGCGTCTACCATCATCTCCACTGTTTGAATAACCTACGGATGGTGGTACATTGGGATTATTACGAGCCAAAGTATCGTGACTCTCCGTACTTCGATCATCTTGGAAAAGCACACTCTGGTATTTCTTCCCAAGCCCCCGTTCGATAACGGACGTTACCTGGCAGTTACTTCAAGGCTCACTATATTTCAGATCACTGTATCAACGTCCTTCGTCAGGCTGTAATGTGCCATGCGAACACTGCAATAACAACATTCGAGTGGGTTGATGGAGAGACTTCGCTTGATGGCAAGGAACAGAGGCTGGACGCTACGACAACATGCACGAAGTGGGAGAGCTTTGACAACTGGGCACGTCAGAGACTGCTCATCGCCGGGAATTACACATACCGGCCGGGGCCATTCGAACGCAATAAGCCGAAGGCTAAGCCGCACAACAAAGACATAGAATAAGTTCACTGCTTATGTGAGCGTCGTAGTACATGGGAGTAGATAGTCTGGATTGGTCTGTGGAAATGGATTTCCCTGATCTTACACCCGTGAAGTCCTAAACGGCGCCCAATTGGGATTCCGTGAATTGTCTCTGATCCGTGCTCCGGTGGATAGACGTGGGATGTTTTAATATATCTCATGCAGTCAAACGCGTCCCAGATGTGATTGGCTGCAGTCCTGTGTTACCTGACAAGTCGGCGGTGATATGTAATACGGGATGAATACCCCTGACCGACAGAGCCCTACGGCGCAACTCTGCATCATCCCTAGGAATAGCGGGGAATAAGTTATTACCTCACATACATAGCCCCCAATACGACATCTGGACGTACCTAGACAAGCCAATGATAAGATATAGGTCGGATAGCGGAGGCTCGAAACGGGTAACAATTCTCAACATCGCTACGCGACCAATCTAACTAAGAGATGGGCTCGGTCTGCGATGTGCTATGTCTTACTGCTCACATACATGCGGGTCCGCCAATGCGACTCACCGACTGGATAATTGGACCGTTAATCGAATCTCTGGTTCGGAGAGTCACATCGCCGGTCCAACCATCACATATTTTATGTACCCATACCGAAGAAAATCACAAGCGTGATAGGCCGAATTACCGACGAAAGCAAACGCATGGAGACTTTACCTAACTCCGACTCTTCCAGCGATCGTCTCACCTCACTTCCCCACATGATAGCTACCGTTTTTTATTCCCCAGGCTTCCCCAATTCGTGTCCTCGCACAGTAGTTTAATCTAACCACGAACCACTCAAACCTCCCCAATCCCTTATTCTCTCACCGCCCAGCCCAGCCCAGCCAAGCTCAGCCCTACAGAGCCGGAGAAAAAAAAGGAAAAAAAAGTGAAACAAGGTCCTAGAGGATGTCGTCACCCCCCACAACCGAGTCCGAGCTCCCCTTCGACGCCCCAGGCGCGGGTAAGCCGTGCAAGACATGGTACAAGATCGTCGGGACGCTATCCCCGTCCTCCCCGGCCCCCCTCATCACGCTGCACGGGGGCCCGGGGTCCGGCCACGACTACCTCGAAGCATTGATCGACCTAACCGAATCGCGCGGCATCCCGCTCATTCTGTACGATCAGATCGGGTGCGGGCGCTCGACGCGGCTGCGCGAGAAGGCCGGCGACGAGTCCTTCTGGACCTTCGACCTGTTTATCAAGCAGCTGGACGAGCTCGTCGACCACCTGCAACTAAGGGAATCCGGGTTCCATGTCTTGGGCCAGAGCTGGGGCGGCATGCTGGGCAGCGCGTACGCGGCGCGCGGGCCGCGGGGGCTGAGGAGGCTGGTGCTTAGCGGCGCGCCTGCGAGCATGCCGTTGTATAAGCGGGCTTGTAAGCTCCGGCTCGCGGAGCTGCCGGAGGAGGTCGGGCGCGTGTTGAGGGAGTGCGATGCTAAGGGTGATCATGAGAGCGCGGAGTTCAGGGGCGCGGCGGCGGTGTTCATGAAGAGGTTCGTGTGCAGGCTTGATCCGCTGCCGGAGCCGATTATGCGGACTTTTACGAATATTAGGGATGATTCGACGGCGTATGCGACTATGTGAGTTCATCCTACCTCTCTCTCTCTTTTTTTTTTTTTTTTTCTTCTCTTTTATAGGTAGGTAGCGAGGTTGCCTGCTCTCCCATGTGAAATTCCTCGGGTCCCGTCTTCTCTAGTTGTGGTGTGATCGCACGTGTAATTAACCCTACATATAGGCAAGGACATTCCGAGTTCGATACTGTCGGATCACTTAAGGATTGGGAGGGCTGGAAAGACGCGCATAAGATCCAGGCCGAGACGTTGCTTCTCAATGGGAGGTATGACGAAGTCATGGATTTCGTGGTTGAGCCGTTCTTCAGGACGATCAATAAGGTCAAGTGGGTGACGCTTGAGAACTCAAGTCATACGGCTATGTGGGAGGACCGTGAGAGGTTTATGCAGCTTGTTGGGGACTTCTTATTATATTAGTCGCCAACCTGAAAGTCGGTGCATTGCCTAAGATCTACAAGTAAACTCATAGGCAGAATGCCCAGGTACCTACTACATAGAAACTCAGATAAATCTACAGTAGAGGAACCTTATGATCTAGGTATATTTTGTTGCGACTCGCGTAGACATTTCGGGCTCTTCGCCATCAGCGCGTATCCACTTCAAAGCTCACCTTGATCCTGCACGAGCTATCCTCATGATAGACGGAGAGGTATGATTTTCTGAATATGTGTCGGGGGGGGGGGGGGGGGGGGCTGTTCACTAAAGATAGGCCAAGTAAATATAATTAAAATTAAATAATAAAAATAAAAATTTATTTTAAATTTAGGAGAAAATAATAAAATATA